AATAAAATTGAAATTGGAAAAGTGGAATTGTCGAATTAAGTAAAAAACGAAATTTTAGAAACGAGTAAACGAGTAAATAAAATAATCTTTATGCTGCCTAGTCCGTAGATAACTTATAAAATTAATGTCTAAAAATGAATTGTACGTTGTCACGTGGTTTTAAAGTAAAAAGAAACGATGTATTTGAAATGTATTAAATGCGGCAAAAATATACTAAATGCATCCAAAATATTTAAATGTTGTCGAAAAAATTCAAAAAATAAAGGGACAAATATTTGTATTCAAAGATATCAGAGAATGTTATAAAAATATTATCGTATATCTGCTGTTGCTTTCCCAGTTACAGAAGGTGTGAACTGAGGGAAAAATAAAAACTTCATATGTTGAATATTGATTTTTTTGCGTCTAAAATCGATGAATAGACGGATCGGTTCTAGTACCTCTTTTGGTCACTCTTCTTGGTTGATTTCCATTACCTGTTGGGAAGACGACACTTATTGTTTCGTATACATTATATAGTTTTCGAGTATCTTAATTAAAAGTTAAGATTCAGACTTTTAATAATTCATTAAACACGATTTTGTTTAATATCTAAAACCGGTTTAAATCCGGTGTTTTTAAGAGATACTATCAAATGCTTATTAGGACTAGCATTTATTTCATATTAGGATTAGTAATTACTAAATATAGATAAACTTACCTATCGAGCATGAAGATCTAATTGCTATCGTCATTTCTCTTAGAATGATGGACCTTTGTCGAGAAAATTTTTAACATACAATAAAAAAATAATTAGGAAGAAGCAAAAAGTATTATTTACTTTGAGCGGGAATACAAAGGTCTTGTATTTGCCGATTTGTCAACGCCGATAACAATTATGAATGGAAATTTTAGAATGACCCAAGAGCCAAGACTACACCCGACATACGCTTGACCGTTAAATTAATATTGATACACCGACTGGTACCGTAAAATTATTTGTCATATATATAACGTTCGTTCCAAAGACGCTGATTCTTGGAAGACGCTATCACAATTTATAAAAAGTCTTCCATTTACATATCTGCAGTTTTAATTTGCTTATGATATGATTCTAATAGAATAAATTTTCCTTATATTTTGAAGAACATCTTGGGATAAAATTTCGAAATTTTTATTTGTATGATGTGTTTAATGTTATTGTGAAGTAGTTGCATGAAAAGATGTTATGCATATTGGTTCTGAGGATTAGGAGTTAAATGGAAGAAAAAAGGGGAAATAGATTAAATAAGCAAATCGGGGAATACAAAGAAAGTTTTTGCAAAATAGTCTATAGTCTATTTGCCAATTTTAATCAAGTTAAAGAGAAGATAGGAGAAGACCATCTTCTCGTTTCATGTAAAAACTTGTATCAATTCACGAGTTAAATACATTTCGGACCGCAGAGATTTTCTTAGCGTGACCAATTGTTGGGCATTTGTCGGAGACACCAAGAGGATAGCATTATCATACCGACGCTAACCAAAGAAGCTGCAATACACAAAAGAAAAAAAAATGCACAAATTCACATACGCGCATAGCAGACATTTTTACCCTGTCTAGATTTTTAAAAAATTATTTTAAAACATTGCATCTTTATTTTTCGCGATCTTTTTCTTCCCCCCTGAACACAAAAGCAATATGTATGTAATTGTGTATCCCTGGTGCAGGGCCCGCGTAATCATCACAAAATTCGAGTATAATTGAACTATAATATAAAGATTGCATATTTAATTTTTAATTAATATTGCGTATCTGTTGTATTATTAGCAAAAAACTGAGAAAACATATGTTTTAATTATAAAATTCGAATCAGCTGCGACTGTTTTGTGAATTTTCTAATTTAGATCTTCGCAAATGGTATAGATATTCATTCAATACATGTGATACTTTTTGTGCTCATATGTAAAGGGTAAATCTTTTTTTTACTCCCACACAAATTTTTCTATTTACATGTGTACTTTTGTCCTGTTCGTATACAAGTTTTCTATTGTTTTTCGTGGGTAACTCAATTGTTTTAATTATTTTTATACGATAACGATAGTGATAGTGTTGATTCAATTAAAAGAAAACTTATAGACAGTATGTTATGTGTATATTTTTATTAATTCCAGAACAAATAAAACAATAAATATATGTGTTTAATCAATTGTAAAGTATACACAATTTTCAAGTATTTGTGTTTGTATATGTTGCTATTATTTTTATATTATATTTATATACATGTATATGTATTCTGTGTATGGTCTAGAAAATGTATTATGTTTGAATATATTGTGCATATGGCTTAGAAAATATATTTGTTATATATATGTTTCTATTGTTTTTATAATTAATATACTTTATACACTAGAAACTTATTGCGTGTACAATATTTTAATATATCTGCCAAGAGGAATGAACATATACATGTATGTAGTTTCTATAGAACTGACCCTCTCCTTCCCCAGATGAAATATTTGATTGGCTAATTACTTTGATCATGTGGAAGGTGAGATTTTTGAGATCCCGTGATATATGCCCGTCCCATATTTTGTAGCATTTGTCTCATTCAAGCAATCAAATTTTTAATAAATATCGGAAAAACTATCACATGTACTGACGAATGAGAATTCGCGAATTTGTTGTTAAAAATATAAATCTAGACAAATGATACAGTAATATCTTAATATAGTTACACCATCTTTTTTAAAACACGACTGGTTCCAAACATAGGAATTGAACTCCACATATCACAATCTTTAGCATTCTCCTCTAACGTCCATCATGTGATAATTTTTGACACCTAGAAATACCAACCTCTCTATAATGACACCGAATATGTTGGTTAATTTGATCGCCTTACAGAGATTTTCGTTGCGGCCAAAATTATGCGCACACTTTTTTTAGGCATACCGTTTAGCACTGTATATAGTACCCTCCCCTGTAAAAAATTTGTTAATCTCAATGCAACTAAGAGTTTTTGAAGAACCGCACTAGGCATCTTGCATTATTTATTTTACAGAAAAAATATTTTTTACTTAAAAAAAATTTGAGGCAAAATTAAATGACAAAGTTTCTTCAAGGGAAGGTACTATATACAGCGCTGAACAGTAAATACTTCGACACCCAGAGATCAGATAAATCATGTGATGAAAATTTGATATTGGGTGCCGAAATATCATGCTGTTCGTTGTTAGAAATCGACAAAGAATTCAACGAAAGTTAACTTTGGGTGTTGGTATCACGAACAATACAATTTCACATGAAAGAATTATTATTTGATACTCCCTTTACGATGCATTGAATATATATATTTGTGTGAATTCGATCTTTGGGTGTTGAGATATCGAACCCGAAAGTCACAGTTTATTAAATCGCTTATCAATGAACGGCAATTTTCGAGTGTGATATTTCAGTTCCACCCAGCTCCAAACTTGTATGAAAATGCCCATTCGGTTTTCTCATTCATGATACATCAAATGGTGGTATTTGTTCTTTGGGTGTCAAGGTATTTATGCTTGAAAAAATGTCCGTAAAATTTTGGTCGTCATCTGTAGAAGATTAGTTTCTCTATGGCTACTATACTTGGCTAATTTGGTCATTATAGAAAGTTTCATTATAAAAAAGCGTCGTTATGGAGAGATTGACATCATGTTTTATTATTCAATATTAAATTGGAATGTCATTTGATTTCAGAAATAAAGGCACGGAAAATATGTACGACGACATTATTCGAAATCTTTACAAAATTTCCATGAATGAAATTAATATCTCTTATTAGTGTTAAAGATCATTTTGATTATTCAATTTGTTAAAATACTAAATCTATTTTTATGTAAAATTCAGAAAACTAATGCTAATGTTAAAATCAGTTCATGCAAATATGAAAACTTAAATCGTGGTTAGAATAACAAGCCAACTTTTATATAGACATAGTTATTGGATACAAGCTAACTTTTTATGACTTATATATCTATATATTAAATCGAGAAATGGTTAATTTACTATCTTATATAGGTTAATTATCTTTCTTATACCAAAATAGAGATTTCTCATAACGAGAGTTCTTGGATTGAGAGTAGAATTTTAAATATATAGTTACTCTTTTTGTAATATCAATCAGTAGAAATTTCAAATTGAAATTGGCATGCGTCAATTTTTCGTAAAATATACAACACTTTTTGTACATGTGTACATAGAGGATAACATATATATTTACACATATTCCGGAAATGTTTATAAATTGACGAAATGATGATTTATAATTACTGTCGTTGAGAATCTATGAAATACACGCATTGTAAAGGATTTTGACACTTTTATAGATATCTTCAAGTCGAGTGCCGCTCAAAATCTCGACATTTCTAAACCCCGACATATCTAACATCCTAAAATTCCAACATATCTAACATCCTGACATTCCTAAAAAAAATAAAAATAGAAGTGTAAAGTATGCATAAATGAAAGAGTGAGGTAATTTAAGGTGAGTACAAATTTCACGCTTTCAGTCGTTATGATAGTGGTCATCATTTAAAGTGTTTTATCTGGATTTTAGTATGTTGGAATTTGGGGATGTCGAGATGTTGAGAGTCGGGATTTTGAGCGTTCGGGATTTCTTCAAGTCACATGCATAAAAATCAAAAATCACATGATAAACGGAGATGAGTAACACAAAATAATTTTTTTTTATTTTATAATATATTTAATGTCATTAACTGAACTCCGTGCAGTGCTTAGTAATCGTTAATATCATTCGTGTGCTGGAAATTTTGCAAATATAAATATATGTATATGTATTTTATATTTAAAAACAAATCAATTTACTGTTCCATAATAAATAAATTACATAAACTCTTTATATATAAAAATTTAAACTAAATAATAGTTCGGTGTTTATTATGTTGATAAAATTCATAAAAATCGATATCCCATAAGGACTTGGCAAGCACCGATGAGAAAAAATCATGAAATTACAGATGTATTCTCATCATTCAAATACAATATCAAGAGAAGGCTTCATTTAGACTCAATGTTCTGTTCTAATTTTTTGTAATTAAATCCGCCAAAAATGTTGTTATTAGTTTGACTGGGCTCAGTTCAAGAGAAACCCGTCTTGATATAGATTGCGAAGTTTTCTAAGTATAAAGAGTGAATGTTTTAATTTCGTGTTTATGCAAAATTCTATTACATTCACCAACAATTAAATTCAGAGAAAAATTTCAAATTCGACATGTTTATTTATGATTTTGTGAATTCCACAAATATAATTATCTTTATAGTGATTTTGTCTATATTTTTCACATATGACAATTGCTAAAACTTTATTGTCATAGTGTATCCGACATGACTATTGCGCGTGCTAACTTGAATATTGGTGTCATATTGGAATAGCAGTTTATAAGGGGCTAAGCGGTAATGCGACACTATGTAAAATTTCTTTAATAATTGGCACATCTTTATTTTTAAAATCATCTGAATTATGTAAATGAATTAATATCAATTTCATATTTGATGATTTCAATTCATGAGAACTACGAAATTTATTTAATTATTATCATTTATAAAAAATTAAAAAATGTAAAGCATCCATTTATTCAAATATACAATAAATGGTTATCCAAAGACAAAACATTGATAACAGAAATTTGTCATTTTTATTTATAATTAATGTTTTTCTAATGAAGATTACGTAGTGTTATTCTATTAAAAAGAACACAGAGTTTATAGTTATATTAATTTTATTCTTTCAAACGCGGAATAATTACGCATTTTACAGCATAGAAATCATTTGACGAGAAAACGCCAAACATAACAAACATAACAATGTCACAACAACAGCTGTTATTTCGCCAATGCAACTGTTGCAGCATTCTATTCCAAAAACAACGGAACACACAAAGGTTTATTAATTTCACAATGCTTATGTACATGTAC